GCTGTTTTCGACTTCTTTCACAAAGATCTTTAAAAATGGAAAGATAATTGTTTTTCTTGACCTACACCACTGTGGAGAGTAAGGAAGTTAAACCTGAATAGCCTGGTAGAGGAGAAATTCTTTACTACCTAGCCCTACTGGAGAGTATCCTTTTGAAGTCGAGGATGGCGTTTTAGGAGAAATCACCAGGGATTTGGAAATCAAGTTTCTTGATTGGGTTGGTCACTAGCTTTCTTGGGAAAGAGGGGGGTCACTGGGTTTTGAAAAACTTGGAAAGATAATGAATTAATGGGTAAAGAAAGTGTATATATATTATTTTTTATTATTAATAGCGCTTCCAAGGTAACCTTAATGGATTTAGGTGGCCCAAAACGACAATCACAGTTGCCGTTTTATCAGTCAATCCTATTTGTTTTATGCTTCTACTGTTCCGAATGGGTTTAAAGCAATATATTCAGAGGCGCCGCTGCGGTGTTCTTTGCATATGTTGGATTTGATGCCATTGCTAATTCAGCTGAAGAATCAAGGAAGCCTCAGGTATTTTATTTTCAGTTCAGATCAATTGGATGCTATTTTGTCTTTTTCAAGGTTTATTTTTTGATCTCGACTGTTTTTCTGTGATGGGAGTTAATAATTCTTTCTTTTTTTCTGTTTTGATTTTGATAATTTCAACGTCATTTACCATTAGGAATCTTGGGAAGCTTGCTTATATGTGCTGGATTATACGTTGGAGTTTGCTTGGTGAACAACGGGTTGGTTCTCAAAGATGAGTATTTACTGGAGTTGCTAGCTATTTCAAAGATGAGTATTTGTTGGGTTGGTTCTCAATTGTTTTCATCTTCTTTTTTTATTTACATATCTGCAGAAAGAATTCCTTTTGCTTCTTTTTGGCTAAATTTTTACAAAAAAAAAAAAAAGAAAAAACAATTACTCTTGCTTTTGTTAAACAGAAATGAAAAAGGATAAAGAGTATAAAAGCAGTTTCACAGAAGCAAAACGATGGTGAAATGGGCTTCCAACGCAGGGTAAATGGGCTAAGATAGCCCAAAACGACTTTAAATATAGTCCATTTCACCAAAATGACTGAGAAAAACCCGACGTCCCAAAACGACTTAAAAATCATCAATTTATTGCGTTTGCTTCATATTATCATCATGATCGCCATTTCCCGCTTTGCCATTTTTCCTGAACTGTTCCTAAATTTCAGTATTATGCGTTTGCTTCATATTACTTTTCAATTGCAGAAAACTACTCATTACATGCGCCTTTATTTCATCCAGTTTCTGTTTAGATTTGTGTTTGCTTTCGAACAATTGAAATGGAAAAAGGAAGAGAGTATATCAGCACTTTAGTCAAGAATAAATCTGGAACTAGAATACGTGTTCGATTAAGTCGAATTTGGAATGCAGGTACTGATGCTAAGGATGAGAAAGATTTGGGTCTTGATGCTGTGGCAATAGATGAGAAGGTGAGGAAAGTTTTCGATTTTTATTATCTGTTTAGGTTTCAATTTTTTTATTTAAATTGTAGTTTTGATATCATTGCGAATCTAATTCTGTAGGGTGATCTAATCCATATTGTTATGGAAAGAAAGTATGCCTAAATTCATAGAAAAAATTTGAAAGAAGGTCAAATTTATACTATCACCAATTTCGGATGTGTGCAATTTTTAAATTATAGGCCTGTTTCATCTAATATTAGAATACGGGTTAATGCTGCTACTAAATTCCTTCTTGAGAGTGAAAATGTTGCTTCTATATTACCTCATTAATTTGAATTCAAGTCCTTTCAAGACTGCAAAAAAAGACTGCATCAACTAACATATTTAACAGGTAGTTTGGGTTTTTATTAATTTTTTATGTTTATTTTATATTAATATTTTCATAAAAGGTTTCATACTTACTTCATACAATTAGTTTTGATTGAATGAGATTGTTATATTGTGTTTTATGTAGATCTATTGGTGTTTTGACCAAAATTGATGATATGGAGGTAGGCTATAGTGCGTGAGGATCAAAATTATCATGTAAAATTTGGTTGATGGATTTTGAGTAAGTGATCATAATACTAATGGACTTTCAATTATGTTTCTGATAGTATTTACTTTTTTTTTATGTTAGTTTATTATATGAAATTTAATTTTGTTGGTTATATAATTGATAAAAGTTTGAATTTATCTGTGATTTGGGTAACATTTTCTTTCTGTTATTTAGTTGAAATTTTGCAGGGAAGCAGAGTTTTATGGGGTCTATGGGGTGGGGTTGTGTTGATTAAAAATTAATGCATTATTATTATTTTGTAGAGAAGCAGAATTTTCTATTAGTCTATGGGGAAAAGCAAAGCAGCAAATACGAGAGTTAAAACTTTGGGAGAAGGATTCAACACAAATTGTTATCATTACCTCTTTAGCTACTAAACAATTTGATGGTATAGCTCATTTTATAAAATTTTACATTAAAGAATTTTATTTTACATTTGTTGACTAATTTAAATGTGATTTGCAAGGAGAAATTCATGGAGTTAGCATGTCTCCAACAAAGATCTATATTAATCTTGACATCCTTGAAGTGAAACAATATCTAGACATGTTTTTTAAATTCTTTCATATATATAAGATTTCTACCATTTCTTAAGTTCTTTAATATCTAGACAGATTGTTTATTTAATTAGGTACTGTTTTGGTGTCAGGTTTGGTAGCTTCAATATTCAATTTCAATTACTTACTAGAAAATTTGAGCTGGTTGAAGAAACTTCAGAGACTGTGTCTTCTATCAGAAAAACAATATCAGATTTGATACAAACTTTTTTGTTAGAAGTTGAAGTAAGTTATATTATTTTGTAAAAATTTCATTTAATCATATTAGTTTCATTATGAATTTCAAATTGCTATTGCACTTTATGTTACTAAATTGATGTTTGGTAGAAACTCTGGTGAAAAAAGATAGGTTTTTGCGTCATGCTTGCTTGCTGAGGTAACAAAGAGAAGGAGAATTTGAAATCTGAATTGTTGGTTTCTTTTCTCTTTAGGAAAGACTTCAGAAAGGACAGGTTTTATCTTTCTAAAGCCTATAAAAATGGAAAAGCATAGGATTGAAGTGTATAATTCTTTCTGTTTTCAGTATTGGCTGTGTTTAATTGGGAAATAAATAGGGGTTGTTATTTGCTATATTTTCATATAAAACCTAATTTTGTTTTATCATATTAGTTTCATTATGAATTTCAAATTGCTATTGCACTTTATTTTATACTAAATTGATGTTTGGTAGAAGCCTTGGTGAAAAAATATTGGTTTTTGCGTCATGCTTGCCTGCTGAGGTAACAAAGAGAAAGAGAATTTGAAATATGAATTTTTGGCTTCTTTTCTCTTTAGGAAAGACTTTAGAAAGGACAGCTTTCATCTTTCTAAGGTCTATAAAAATGGAAAAGCATAGGATTGAAGTGTATAATTCTTTCTGTTTTCAGTGTTGATTGTGTTTAATTGGGAAATAAACAATAGTTGTCATTTGCTATATCTTCATATAAACCTGATTTTGTTTTATCATATTAGTTTCATTATGGATTTCAAATTGCTATTGCACTTTATTTTATACTAAATTGATGTTTGGTAAAAGCCCTGGTGAGAAAATATTGGTTTTTGTGTCATGCTTGCTTGTTGAGGTAACAAAGAGAAGGAGAATTTGAAATCTGAATTTTTGGTTTCTTTTCTCTTCAGGAAAGACTTTAGAAAGGACAGCTTTCATCTTTCTAAGGTCTATAAAAATGGAAAAGCATAGGATTGAAGTGTACAATTCTTTCTGTTTTCAGTGTTGGCTGTGTTTAATTGGGAAATAAACAGGGGTTGTTATTTGCTATATCTTCATATAAAACCTAATTTTGTTTTACCATATTAGTTTCATTATGAATTTCAAATTGCTATTGCACTTTATTTTATACTAAATTGATGTTTGGTAGAAGCCTTGGTGAAAAATATTTGTTTTTGCGTCATTGTTGCTTGCTGAGGTAACAAAGAGCAGAAGAATTTGAAATATGAATTTTTGGTTTCTTTTCTCTTCAGGAAAGACTTCAGAAAGGACAAGTTTGATCTTTCTAAAGTCTATAAAAATGGAAAAGCATAGGATTGAAGTATATAATTCTTTTTGTTTTCAGTGTTGGCTGTGTTTAATTGGGAAATAAACAGGGGTTGTTATTTGCTATATCTTCATATAAAACCTAATTTTGTTTTATCATATTAGTTTTATTATGAATTTCAAATTGCTATTGCACTTTATTTTATACTAAATTGATGTTTGGTAGAAGCCTTGGTGAAAAAATATTTGTTTTTGCGTCATACTTGCTTGCTTAGGTAACAAAATGAAGGAGAATTTGAAATTTGAATTTTTGGTTTCTTTTCTCTTCAGGAAAGACTTCAAAAAGGACAGGTTTGATCTTTCTAAAGTCTATAAAAATGGAAAAGTATAGGATTGAAGTGTATAATTCTTTTTGTTTTGATCATGTATTTACACTTAATGTGAAACAACTTCTGTAATTGTATTTTTTTAATGTTAAAATTTTATCTCCACTTTAATGTTTAAAATGATCTAATGAATGTCACATAAATTTTCAAAACTGTATAGCCAGGCCAAAGGTTTCAAGTTGAAGCAAAAGTTGTTAGCTTTGACGTAGATTCTGGTTGGTTTTACACAGCCTGTAAATAATGCACCAGGAAACTTCCTCCTGCTTACACTGGTCGAGGATGTCGAGTTTGTAATACTCCACAGTCTGAATCAATGATTTGGTATGGAATATTTTGTCATTTAATGGTTAAGATTATAACATGTTATCAGCTTTATTAATTACAAGAATTTGAAAATATTATTAAGTTTTTTTACCAAACATGAGAATTACATGTATTATTAATATAGGTATCATTTGAAGACCATAGTACAAGATGAGACTAGCTCAACTACTTTTATTATCTTTGGTACAAAAGGTGAAAAACTACTTGGAATATCAGTTAATAATTTAATTGCATCAGTAGCAGTGGATCCTAAAGTACTTCATCCAGTGATGGAGAGATTTTGTGAGAAAAGGGTTAAAAACTTTTTTCATATGACAGTTAAACATAATGAATATGAGGAGGATGCTGTGAGTTTTATTGTTCAAAATTTGTTTGATTTACCCTCTACTCCCTTTGCTTTTGTTGATCCAATTGCAGTTGGAAGACAACCTATTTGTTGGGAAGGGCAAAGCAAGTTAGCTAAACCCCTTAAAAAGGATGAAATTACTCCATTATTAGAAAAACTACAATAAGATTATCTTGAGCAAATACCTCCATCTACAGGCCTTTTGTTGACGTAAGAGATTTACATTTACACTGTTATCTTCTGCTTTTCTTTTCTTTCCTTTTCTTTTTTTAAATTTAATAGAAGTTTTTGTTTAATGGTGTTTATGGCAGTAATCTTTTTACTCAAATTATAGCATCTATAAAACCAGATTAGACAAAACATATACAGTGTGGTATAGGTGGATTCATATTAGTAAACAAATAACAATATTGCAAAGTAATGACTAGGAGTAGGAAAATGGAGGGGAAGAGAACAAAGGAGAGAGAGAGAGAGAGAGATTATTATTAAATCAAGTAACATAACTTATCTTTGATAGACTCAAGTGCACAATAAATTCTTTGATAAAACCTAAATTAATTTAGGTCTATTGAGTAAGCGCACTCTATTTTTAAGCCTAATATAACAAGTACCAGAATTCAATTTTGGTTGCTATTAGTTTCGTCCAGGAGAAAGAGAGAAGGTTAATAGAGGATGGAAACCTTGAACCAGAGAAAGTGTTGTCTAACAAATTCCTTTAGCTCTTTTTTTTTTTTTTTTTTTTGTTAGTCATGAGTGTTCAAAAACAAAAAACATAAAGCATATTTATGTTCTAAGCTTATAATAGAAAGTTAATAAACCTATATCAATTTTAGGGTCATTGTTATGTGGAACCAAGGCAAGCTGAAGAATTTTTATGTTTAAGTTTGCCTTTTAAACTGACAAAAAATAAAATAAAATTCTATTTATATTTGCGCTCTAATTGCAATTCATATGGTAGAGAATATTGTCTTAAGTTGTCCATTTTTTGTTGAAATTTAAATCAAAGCTATAGTTCCTTACACTGTTATCTTCTGCTTTTCTTTTCTTTTCTTTTCTTTTCTTTTTTAATTTAATAAAAGTTTTTGTTTAATGGTGTTTATGGCAGTGATCTTTTTACCCAAATTTTAGCATCTGTAAAACTAATTTTAAGTAGTGGCCTAAATCATGAGGAAGTTGGTAGTATCACTTCTCTTAAGGGAAAAGAAATATTGAGAGAGTTTGAAGAACTAAATGAGAAACACAGGTTTGTTTTGACTTTTTCTTTTTATTATTTTTAAGATATTTGAATTTATAATAAGTATTTAACTAAAAATTAAAAATTTTTATATACATTTCAGTGTGCCTCCTATTGTTTTAGGAGTTGATCAAGTTAAATCTGTCGTTTTAGAAATGGTTATGCAGAGCAGGTATGGTGCTGCACTAAGTATAAATTTATTTACTATTTATAAAACAAGTGTTCTAATTCAAAGTTCAATTCTAAAAGCAGAAAAGGGTTGCAGCTGGATGATTTGCATGAAAATAATAACAAGGAGTTTAGCAATCAATCATCTGAGATTTATAATGCATCTATTACTAATGACTATCAAGAAAAGATGGAAAGGTATTTACTATGTTGTGTTTATATGTACTTATTATAACTTTTATGATATATTTGTTTTTTAATATGAGCACTATAAATTCAGTCTTCAAGTGTATTATAGGGAAAATGAGAAGTAAGAATCAAGTGTTGACCTATTCGACAGCATCAATGAAGATAATTTGACATCAACAAAGGAACTGGTAACGTTGACCGATAGCAATTGGTATGTTTAACAGTGACATGATATTGAAAAGCACATTTCCTATTATGTTTTAAAGAATTCAAATTGATAGTTTCTATTTATAAATTTAACAGTGAGAAACAAACAGGAATTGAAGAAGAAAGAATTAAAAAAAATGATGCAAAAAATGTACAAAGAGATGATATCAACCAATACTAGAAAAAAGTAAGAAACTTTATTTATTTAAATTTATTTTCATAACTTGAATAAAGAAATATATTTCTCTTATATTCTAAAACTTTAATTATTGTGCTTTGCAGAGAAACTGAAGACTTCAAAGGAATAAGAAGTAGAGAAAGTTAGAAGATAATCCAGTTGTTATCTATTTCTTTTATGATAATATTATTATATTAATTTTTTTTAATTCCAACTTATTTTCTATTTCAGTCAGTGAAAACATATTGGAACTTTTATCTATAAATTTCTATTAATATCATACGTCTATATTTTAGTTTGTGATAATTATGATTATTTATAATTTTTTCCTTCTAATATTATTTGGATAATATGAAATAAAATGGTATTAGTGTTGTATCTAAAACATTTACATAATATTTAAAAAGTCAATATAAAATAATCTAAAAAATGAAATTTAAAAGAATAAAACGGATGGAACATTTAAACTGATGCATTTTCTTTCCTAAAAAATAAAATTTCCTTTCTAGATAAAAATGAGTAATTTAGTTCTACACATTTATCTCTTTTAAAAAAAAAAGATAAAGATGAGGGAAACATATACAACAAAAATTAAAACAAATTGAGTCAAGTTAGAACACATTGCTCACAGTTAAACCATGACAGTTAAAACTATTTAGTAAATTGAAACACTTAATGAATGGGAAAAAATAAAAAGATACTCCTACAAAATGTTTATGAGCACGAAATTTTGATCATATAATAACTAAAATCATAAACCAGAATATGGAGTTTAAGTAAGTTAATAAACCAGAATATGGAGTTTAAGTAAGTTAATAAACCAGAATATAAAGTTTAAGAAACAGTTTTTTTTTAACTGTCATCATTCCAAGGAACTCTGCTACACGAACGACAGCACCGAAGCAAACAATTGATGAAAGACAAAAACTGCAATAAGATTACCCCATTTAAAAGAATATGAAGTTCAAGAAATAATTTTCTTTTACTTGTCATTATCTCAAGAAACTTTGCTGCAAGAACGACGGCAACACAAGCAAGCAATAATGGAGCAGAAAAACTATACAAAGATTACAACAGGATCAGATTTACTTGCAGAATTTGAAGAGTATTTACAGCAGACTTCTTTTCAACAAAGTAGTCAAAATATTCTTCAATCAAATTCTCAATTATTGGGAGTTGAAGTTGTTGCATCAACAATAGATAAACAAGCAAAATGCATGACAGACCAAGCACTTGCAACTAATATTGGAGAGCAACCCATAGATACAATCAACTACATTAGAGTTGAAGAGCATGAAAATGAAATGAGAGGTACAATCTAACTATTTTTTGCGTGATGCTTAATCTAACTATTTTCCCTTCTTTTTTTTTTTTTTATTCATGAAGGTGATGTATTTATTTTTTATGATGCATATAGAGACTCCTTTATAAAAAGGAATTTAGAATCAGGTTTATGACTAGTTGGGAATATGGTTTTAAATATGAAGTGTAAACAATGATAATTACATGTATTAAGACATTTCTGGAGATAGAGAGACATGTAGAAAAGTGCCATAGCTATAGAACTGATAGAGAGACATGAAGGAGAGAGAGATTATTATTAAATCAAGTTACATAACTTATCCTTGATAAACTCAAGTGCACAATAAATTCTTTGATAAAACCTAAATTAATTTAGGTCTGTTGAGTAAGCGCACTCTATTTTTAAGCCTAATATAACTAGCAGAATTCAATTTTGGTTGCTATTAGTTTCGTCCAGGAGAAAGAGAGAAGGTTAATAGAGGATAGAAATCTTGAACCAGAGAAAGTGTTGTTTGACAAGTTCCTTTTTTTTTTTTTTCGTAATGTTATTTTGTTAGTCATGAGTGTTCAAAAACAAAAACCATAAATCATATTTATGTTCTAAGCTTATAATAGAGAGTTAATAAACCTATATTAGAAGTTCAGGGTCATTGTTATGTGGAACCAAGGCAAGCTGAAGAATTTTTCTATTTAAGTTTGCTTTTTAAATTGGCAAAAAAAAAAATAATAGAATTCTATTTATATTTGTGCTCTAATTGCAATTCATATGATAGAGAATATTTCCTTAAGTTTTCCATTTTTTGTTGAAATTTAAATCAAAGCTATAGTTTCTGCAACAACTAACAAGGAAAGAGGAAAAATACCAGTAACTAGTAAACCCTCTAGAAGTAAACACATTGGAGACACTAACAAAAAATCTTCTTCGAGTAGCTTCTACTCAAGAAATATCACCTGGTATGTTTTATATTATTTATAGAATAACTTTGGATTGTAGCCTATATTTCTAGAAGAGCTAAGCATTAAGTTGAATGCAGGAAATGAAATGGTACAAGTTTATGAATACAGCAAAATTATACCAAGAGCCAACTTATTGTCTGAGTTTGAAGATTATTTGCTAAGAAGTATAAGGGAGAATGTGATGAAAGGTATTTCTATCTTTTTAATAATATTGAAATTAATTTAATACATCAATTTTTCAGCAAACTGTACCTTAAGAAGATCTATGTGTACAGGCATAAAACAGGATGGTAGACAAATGGAAATTGGTGAGTCAAGCAATTCTGCCACAAGAATTTCTGAAAAAATAGTAAGGACAATTGAAGAAAGCCAAGAAAATACTTTCACTTCAGCTCAAAGTCAAGAAATAAGGAGGATAGGAATTAGAAGACAAAATGGTGCAAATTCCTTTGATGTTCCACAGAGATCAACAAGAAAAAGACAAAGAGAAGCTAGCAACAATGGTAAATAATTATATTAAACTTTTAAATGAAGAATCTTTCCATATTTATTATTGGAAAATTAGATGACATTATTATTTATTTACCATTGAATTTTACAATTGAACAAAGAAATGTTTTGATTGATTTTGGTCCTCCAATATACATTTGTACAAAGTGTGGAGCATGGCATTGGATCCAGGAGAAAATAAAAAAGGACAGAAGTAATGGCATTATTCACTTCTCTCTATGTTGTAAAGACGGGAAACTGCAATTAGCTCCAAGAAAAGATCCTCCTATGTTGTTAAAATCTCTTCTTGATTATGAAGGTGGACTAAAAGCCAAGAGATTTAAATCTAATATCCGGAAATGCAACTGCCAGTTTGCATTTACATCTTTTGGAGCTAAAATAGATGACACTGTAAATACAGGACAAGGACCTTTTTGCTTCAAACTATGTGGACAATGTTGTCATAGAATTGGATCACTTTTACCTCCTGAAGGTCAGAATCCAACATTTGCACAACTCTATGTTTTTGATACAAATAATGAAGTCCATAATAGATTGAATGTGGCTAGCACATCAACTGATGATGATCCTTTGAACAAAGAGATAGTTGAAGATCTAATAAAGATGTTTGATGAATGCAACAAATTAGTGCAAGTTTTCCAGAGAGCTAGAGATACATTGGTAGAAAATGGAATACCAGAATTTCAGCTCAAATTATTAAGTGGTGGAGGACCTGGTGATCATCAATATTCTGCACCATAATGGTAGAAACTGTTGGATTAATAATCGGAGCTGAAGAAGAGATTGTGCAGGGTCGAGATGTGATCATTCAACATAGGAATGGTATTGTGAAAAGAATTAATTCATCTTTTCCATACTACATGGCTTTACAGTATCCTATTTTATTTCCCTATGGTGAAGAAGGATATAGAAACAATTTATATGAAGTTGATGAGAATGGGAATCAAACAAATGACAGGATCTCAATATGTGATTACTACATATATTATTTTCAGTTTAGAGTTAATGAATGGAACACAATCATGTATGGTGGTAGATTATCTTAGCAATTTGTTGTGGATGTATACTGTTGTGCTGAAGAACATCAATTACTATATCACCGTCTCAACCAAAGTCAATTGAGAATAGGATTTTACAATGGTCTGGTGGATGCAGTGAACAAGGGGGATATAGATGGTAAAACAGTTGGGAAGAAAATCATATTACCATCAACTTTTACTGGTGGACCAAGATACATGCAACATTTGTATCAAGATGCAATGTGCATTTGTCAACATTTTGGAAATCTAGATTATTTTCTTACATTCACTTGCAATAGTCATTGGAATGAAATTAAAGAAGCTTTAAAATTCATTCCTGGGCAAAAAGTAGAAGACCGTCCAGATTTACCAGTGAGGGTATTTAAGATGAAATTGACTGCATTACTTAGGTTCATAAAGAATAGGAAACATTTTGGAAAACAAGAAGCAAGTTAGTTTTAAACACTGATGTTACAATATTTAGAAATTTAACTATGGTAATATACTAATATGTATACCATTATTTAAAGAACTGATAAATGACATATGCTAACTACTTTCTTTAAATTTTTTTTTTATTGTAGTTGTACATACAGTTGAATTCCAAAAGAGGGGATTACCACATGTTCACATCTTGCTTTGGGTTGATCCACCCAATAAACCTAGAACATCAGAAGATGTAGATAACCGAATAACTGCAGAAATACCAGATAAAGAGACAAGTCTAGTGCTTTATGAGCTGGTAAAGAAATTCCATATTCATAATCCTTGTGGTAAAAAATTCCCAAAGGCTGCATGCATGAAAAATGGAAAATGTTCAAAAGGTTTTCCTTAAGCATTTAGTGAGACAACTATGCTAGACAAAGTAGGCTTCCCTATCTATAGAAGGCGAAATGATGGTCAATTTGTAGAAAAAAATGGAGTTAAGCTGGATAATAGATGGGTAGTTCCTTATAATGCAAATTTATTGCAATTTTTTCATACTCATATCTGTGTTTTAGTTTGCTGCCTTGATCACTCAGTGAAATATTTATTCAAATATATAACCAAAGGTCTAGATAGAACACGTGCAGTTGTTACTGAGGTAAAGTGGTTAGAAGGAAACTAAACAGATGAAGTTGTATATGATTAAATCAAACAATATCTGGACTGTAGATACATCACACCTTGCGAGGCACACTGGAGATTAAATGAGTTTCCTATTCATGGTAGAAATCCAGCTGTTGAACATCTCCAATTCCATCTTCAGTATAATCACATGGTGGGTTTTCGTGAAGATCAAGATTTGCGCAAAGTATTGGAGAGAGAAGGAATACAGAAATCCATGTTCACAGAATGGATGGCAACAAATGCTAAATTCACAAAAGCTAGAGCATTAACATATCTAAAATTTCCAACAAAATGGGTGTGGAATAAACAAAAAAAGAGTTGGACACCTAGAAAACGAGGGAATATGATTGGAAGATTATATTACGTACCTCTTACTGCAGGTAAGTTAAAATTAAATAAATTGAAATACTTTGCTTTCAAAATTCTCTAATAAATTACAATAGTTTTATCTCTAATATATTCATGTTATTGTAGGTGAAAAATACTACTTGAGATTGTTGTTGCAACATATTAGGGGACCAACCTGTTTTAGTGATTTATATATAGTTGGAGGTCATCAATATGATACTTTCCAAGAAGCATGTTATTCAATGGGACTCATTGGAGAAGATAAAGAATGGGAAAAAGCTATAAATGAAGCTTTTGAATGGAAAACTGGTCATACTCTTAGAGAAATGTTTGTGATGATACTCATGCATTGTGAAGTGATAGATAGTGCAGCTTTGTGGGATAAAACATGGCTAAAGCTTTCTGATGGAATTTTACACCAGTGGCGACACATCCTGCGGCTACCTAAGTTACAACTAATTGAGGAACAACTAAAAAATTATACACTTTTTGAAATTGAGAGACTGCTTATAGAAAATGGCTCCAATTTGCAAGAACATGGTATGCATCAACTAGATACGACATTAATTCAGAACAAAACAAATGCTCTTATTTTTGAAGAGTTAAATTTTAATAGAGCTGATGCAGAACAAGAATTCAATTAGTTATTCTCTACATTGAATGAAGATCAACTAGCAGCATTTCATCAAATAATGCAGTCAATCAATAACAAAGAAGGCAAGCTATTTTTCATTAATGGACCAGGTGGAACTGATAAAACTCACTTATATAAGACTATTTTTGTATGGAGTCAAAGCTAGAAATGGATGGCCACTGCCAACTGCATCTTCTGGTATTGCACTACTACTACTTCCAAGAGGTCGAACAGCACATTCTAGGTTCAATATTCCACGAGAAATATTTAAGGATAGCCTCTATGGTATAAGCAAGCAAGATCAACTTTGTAAATTAATACAATTAGCAAATGTTATTATATGGGATGAAGCTCCTATGGATCATAAACATTGTTTTGAGGTAGTCCACCACACATTACAAGATTTAATGGATGGTAAAATTTCAAGAGCTAAAAAACTGCCATTTGGAGGCAAGATAGTTGTCATGGGAGGTGATTTTCGTCAATGCTTACCTGTCATCAAGAAAGCAACAAGAAGTGAAGTGGTAAATGCTTCAATTTGTAATTCTTTTTTGTGGATGAATTGTCAAATATTAAACCTTAAAAAGAACATGAGGTTGCTTTCAAATCAGTTAACTAACACTCAAAAAGCAAAAGTAGAACAGTTTTCAAAATGGATTTTGAGTATAGGTGATGGAACAGCACCAGGTGTACAATGTGAAGAGGGTGAAGAAGGAAAATGGGTTGAAATTCCTGAAGATTTACTCATTCCATTTGGAGAAAGTGTAGTATCTCACCTCATTGATGTTATATATCCAGAATTTGAAAATCAGCATGATAATCGTACTTACTTAAGTGAAAGATCAATTGTCACTCCAAAAAATAGCTTCGTAACTTACATCAATGATTTGCTGTTGGATAGAATTCCAGAATCAGAATACATCTATTTGAGTTATGATTCAGTGGAAAGATTAGCAAGGCAGAGCAATCATCAACCTTTGAATTATGCAGAAGAGTATTTGAACTCACTAGAGTTTGCAGGTCTCCCCTCACATCAATTAAGATTGAAAGTTGGAGCACCTATTATGCTGATGAGGAATTTAAAATAGAATGCTGGTCTTTGTAATGGAACAAGATTAATAATAACCAGATTAGCAACGAAAGTTATTGAAGCAGTTATACTTACAGGATCTCATGTCGGCAACATCGCCAATATCCCCAGAATCAGTTTGAAACTAGAAAATGTTACTCTACCATTTGTTTTGAAGAGGCGACAATTCCCAGTGCGGGTGTGTTATGCAATGACTATTAATAAAAGCCAAGGTCAGACATTAAAAAAGGTTGGTATTTACTTGCCACAACCAGTTTTCACCCATGGTCAGCTCTATGTAGCATTATCCAGAGTGCAAGAAAGATCAGGTCTGAAAATAGTTATTGATAACAGCAATGTTCCTCAAAGTCCAGGATGGAATTATATGAAGAACATAGTTTATAAAGAGATTTTTCATAACATGGGATAATTTCAATATAATATATCCATTTCATATTGCTTTTCTATACTTGCATTTGACATCTTTCAGTATAAAATTTTAGAATCATTATCTTTGTAAAACCTTAATTTTAATTAATAGCAGAACTGATATGCTTCCTTTCTATAGTTATTTGTTATCCTTGGGAATATTAAGCCTCATAGATTATTTAGTCTCATAGATTATTTAGTCTCCCCTCTTATTGTCTTCCCATTTAAGTATTATGACCATGCTTCCTCGGCTTGGACTAAAGATAATAACCCCACCAAAAATGGCTCATTTGTTTACTTTGACTTTTATTGTAGAAGTTATTTACTTTCTTTTAGATTGGAGATGGGTATTCATATGTGGAAGATTTGATCTTGAAAGTTATGTGTTCTTGGTGGAAACTAAAATGGAGCATTGGTGTTTTTGTTGCAAGTTTTGGGTACCATTAAACTCTGCTACATGAACGACGACACCCAAGCGAGCAATCGATGTAAGACAAAAACTGTAGTAAGATTGCACCATTTAAAAGAATATGAAGTTTAAGAAATAGTTTCTTTTACCTGTCATTATCTTAAGAAACTTTGATGTAAGAACGACGACAACACAAGCAAACAACTAATGGAACAGAAAAACCATACAAAGATTACAATAGGATCAGATTTACTTGCAAAATCTAAAGAGTATTTATAGCAAACTTCTTTTCAACAAAGTAATCAAAATGTTCTTTAATCAAATTCTCAATTATTTGGAGTTGAAGTTGCTGTATCAACAACAAATAAACAAGCAGAATGCATGACAGACCAAGCACTTGCAACTAATATTGGAGAGCAACCCATGGATAGAATCAGCTACATTAGAGTTGAAGAGCATGAAATGAGAGGTACAATCTAACTATTTTATGTGCGATGCTTAATCTAACTGTTTTCTTTTTTTATTTTTATTTTTATTTATGAAGGTGATGTATTTATTTTTTATGATGCATATAGAGACCCCCTTATAGAAAGGAATACTCTGTAAAACAGCTACTTCATCCATTGCCAAAACCTGTTTTATAAACAGCTACTTCCCATTTATTGCCACAAACACCATGAAGGGAAACAGTTGGTTTATCACTAAGAAGTTCATCATAAATTTCTTTTAGAATACTCTGTAAAACCATAAATAAAAAAGCTAAAATAAAGATGAATATTATTAAATTGAATTAATAATGGTATTCTAAACAATTATTAACAAATAAAAAACAAGAAA